CCTCCATTATGCAGATAATGGACCATGCTAAGTGTTAATAAATAATCCATACATCACAACTACAAACTACACTGATATCCAGTGAATGGTCAAGATTATCCCTGTTCTTCAATTTTCTATATGCCACAGACAATGCAAGTTATGCCTATCCCAGATGTATTTCTGGGAGAGAGAGAGAGAAAAGCAGCTGCTTTGTCTGTAGAATGTTGGGTAATTATAAAATGAACTGTCATATCTTGCCATGCAGAAAAGTTACCATATTTGACAGGCAGTTCAACAGGTACAACAGAGCCTACAACAAGCAGTAAATACTGCCAGTACAGTTCCAGAATATCAATGAAGTCCAAGTCGATGTTGGTCACTGAATTGGGGGATAACAGTAGTCAACTTGGTCTGAAACATTTCACAGTCAGTCCAGCTCTCTTGGGTGGAGCTTGCTACATACATGTAAAAGCAAAGGGGCAATAAATCAGGTTTCTGGCATACAAAGGAAAAGGAAATCTGGGATATTGCAATAGTGTTTTTCAACTACTTGCAGCATAAATTGTTTTTGCTCTTTATCTTTTATTATGGTGTTTGACATGGTGAACAAACGTGCTGGAAGTGCAGCATAGAAATGAAGAAAGACAATACCACCATAAGATGAAGCCATATCTATTCATTTAGTGTCTTGATCTGGAACACTATGCTGAAGTAAAATTTATTTCAGCTGTTATGATGCAGAGCTATGCTTAGGGAGTTCCAAAAGTGACACCTCGAGATCTCTGGGAAGATACTTTGAAAGACCCAGAAATACCATGGATGATCTTTTTCATTCAGCAAGATAATGTGTAGCCAGGACAGAATTAGGAATGCAGTACAAGTGCACGCAGTCTATAGCATTTGTACAAGAAACTACAGGTGTAAGATGGCATGCTAAACTTGCTTTATTGACTACTTAGACATAGATCGTAGCCTGTATTACAGCAAATGGTACACTGAACCCTAAGGTGTCAAATTATTCAGACATTGCCTGACACAAGGACTGGTGACCATCAGGGTGTCACATGCACTAGTGCTAATGTCCAACAATAATTCTATTGGTCATGTTTGAATCGTGACATATATGTATATGTGCCAATACTGCATTACATGAGCAGCATAAAAGAAAGCCAGTCAAGCCAGGGTAAACTCTGCTAAAAAATGATTGCTTTTTCTCTTCAAAGAATAGCCCTGGATTTTCACCAGTCTCTTCTCTCAGACAGAGCAAGGTAATTAATATGTTATTCAGTGGACTGAATATACTGAAATTTGGTTGGTTGTTGTTAAGCGCAAGACTACACGATGGGCAATACTTGTGGTGATCTGCCCACCAAGAATAGCAAAACCTGGTTTTTAGCATCGTAAACGTACAGACTTACTGCTGAGTTATTGGGAGAAAAGGTAGAATTTGTGAGGGATATAATATAAAAATAACTGGTCACACTAAGCATTATAAAAATGATGCTTGATTAGTATGTTGATATGATTTTTTATATGTTTTTGTATATTCAACTTTAATGTTGTTTTAAAAGAAATACGGTTTATTATTACCTCTGCCACCGAAGGCGGATGGAGGTTATGTTTTCACCCATGTGTGTGCGTGTTTGTCAGCAACATTTCTCGAAAACAGCTGAATGCATTGGGGTGGAAGTTTCTATACATTTGGACTATGACCCAATTTGGAAGTGATTAGATTTTGGAGGGTCAAGGTCACGAAAATATAAAAAAATCCCTATATATTAACGTGATGACCGATTTTTCACACTATTTTTGCTCTATAATTTAGTCATAATTGATCGGATTTTAATTAAACTTGGTGGACATATGTAGAATATTGTTGCGTCATCGAGGTCACGTGACTGGTGTGGCGCCCTCTAGTTTCTAGAACTATCTTGTTCTATCATGAATGCTCTAGTATTTACTAGATAGGGTAGTCTGGTATATATAAGAGGGGGACAACGTGACGCGGTAACGTAATGTGTGTGTAGACAGTGAGTAATTGAACTGCAGTCACAGGGTATTGTTGAAGTTAACG